TATTTGCTATATCTCATACTAAGAATATGAATTTATAGTAAATAATATCGTTATTGATCTAATCATAGCTACTTGTGAAATTTTTTTGATCACAGTCAATGTCATGAGTATGATGAGGACCGTAGTCAATGACATGAGTATGAGAACACTACTAGAAAAACAGCCTTTTACGAATATGTGTCAAGGAAGGCCCTGTCATAACGAGAGACGACACGCTTTTGCGCGTCATCTATTTATGACGCGCATTTACGAGTCGCATTTACGACACGCAATGCGTATCAAGGAAGGCTCTGTCATAAAGGAAGACGACACGCATTTGCGTGTTGTAACCTTACGACTCGCATTGCGTATCATTAAAGCCCTTGTCAAGAAATGTCATGTCATAAATGAAGACGACACACATTTTTTGCGTATTGTAATTTTAAATGTTTAAAAAAAAATATTATTTATAGATTTACTAATTTTCAAATTAAATTTGCATTTAATGTCTCATAATAGAAAATAAAATATTATATAAAAAAATACAATCCATTGCATAAAATTTAATGTCATACAAATAATCATTCCATGGAAATTTAAAACAAATCAATAGAAGTTGTAATAGAAATTTACAAACTAATAGTTCTAATAACCTAATGTGTGCCCCAGTATAAACAAGATTTGTGCTGATTTTTTTAAATGTGTGCCTCACTTGTCTCCACTCTTCCTTTGTAACACCACTCAAGGACTCTAAATCTATGAACTTGCTCACAATATCTATATTGCCTGCAAAAAAAAAACATAGCTACAAAATAAGTGTGAAGATGGATTATTACATTGTAAGAGAAGTTTTAAAAAATGTCATAATATACACACCTGCACAGATGATACAGTTCCACCTGATGATGAGATAGCAAAAAAAAAGGAAGGGCAACTCTTAAAAAGAAAATACTTCCTCATATAAGATAAACCTCCAAAACCATTAAATTCGCCACATTATATTCAGACTTCCTCATATAGCATTCTACTTCCAATTATTTCCATGACAGCATTGTACTTTGAAATATCTAGTAGATTAAATAGCATAATTAGGGGTATATTTTTCAAAGTACAATGTCTTAATAAGAAAAAGATTAAAAGTTGGGTTGAATATTACCTTGTTACTTGCAGCCTCTTCAGCTTTTTGGACTAGTTTCATTCCTTCAGATCGTCCACATGTTTGTCAATGAACATGATAATTTATTTCGATAAGAATGATGATGCATAGATAAGAATCATGATGCAGATGCTCCTTAAATGTGAAAATCCTTAAATACCTTATCATCTTGAAGCAATTGACTGCTATATACCACCAACAATTCGTTTTGCACTCACTGCTGAAAATGAGCTAAAATGTAGAAAAATATCACCTGAAATGGTAACAAATACTTGCCTCAAGATAACAATCAATAATCTAATGTCCTGACTTGGCAACGACTTTTCCTGCTCGTAGAATTCCTCATTGCCAACAATTGTAAGCATGTGCCTGACATATAAATGAAGAATATACTCAATTTTAGCTTCGATTCTTGGACTAACTTATGGGTAGTTTTGTCTTTTTCCCTTATTAAGTGGGTAAAGTGTTGAATGACATTAAATGGGTAGTTGGAATCTTTTAGACTGAATGACAGTCATAAATTCAAAATAATAGAAATTTATGCATGTTACATAATATTTTAATTATTTTTATCTTTCTTAAATAAATAACATCAATTGGGATCTGATTAATAAGAAGGTGTACACCTGTACACACAACGCAGAAAACTGCCATAGGAAATAGCCTACCAAATGCATTTCCAGGTAGATACAATGACATGGCAAACAAGGAAGACCAATTTTGGTTCTTATAGCATCGCTTCATGAAACTCCAGAGTACATATAAATACAAGAGATTGTGTGAGGGCATCACACTTAAAAACACCACATGCCTTCACCATTTTATCGAATTGGCTACTGAACTCTTTAATATAATAATCGTAAAAAAAGGGGAAAAACATTTAATGTTTTAATAAGTAAAGATAATAGTAAAGTGGCTACATCGATAAAATGGTGGAAGTATGTTGTATTTTTCTATATATGGTATCGCATAAACAGCTTTTGTAGGTGTCCGAAAAAAGATAAATAAATAAATAAACAGATGAGAAGTGTGTTGAGTTGTTTACCTTGAAGGTCATCATATCGAACAAAGAAATCTTTCCGCCAGAAGCAGACATGACATAGGAGTCATTCTTTGATGATGCAAAGCATGCAGTGGCATCTTCAGGGTTTGTTTCACTGATATCATTTGTCATCAATATACCACTCACTGGTTGCCATAATTAAGGTTGAACACTAGCAGTTGCCTAAAACAAAACATGCAACCACCAAAACTCACATTAACTAACATTTCATTCATCAAATTTATCCACCCACCATGTTTTATTCCTTGCAATCTTATCTACATAAACTAGGTTAAACCAATGTTTTAAAAACCGGTTTGAACTGGCCGGTCGAACCGGTTGGACCGGGAACCGGGGAGGGAGCGGTTCAATTATCACCGGTTTTAGATTGATTTCTGAACCGGATTGAACCGGCCGGTTTTTAGAAAAACCGGTTGAACTGGTCAAAATAAACCGGTTGAACCGGTTAAACCGAATAAAAACACATGAAAAAGAACCATTTACATACTAAACTTAGGTGATTTTTTTTCCAAATTTATTGAGTTTTCTCTAAATAAAAACATATAATTAACGTTATAAAGTTTTTTGATGTGGTTGTATTCATCTAAAACTATATTTTGTTTCGGTATTATATTTTATTTTCTTTTGACGTATATGGATTTATGTAAACACTAAAACTTATGATTATGGTTATTTTAATGTATTTGGATTCATTTACAAATTATTTTTATGTGTGTTTTAAATGTTTGAACCTGTAAACATCAAATTCATAATTTACATAAGTATGTATGTGTAGGAAAATAGAAAAAGACATGAAAAATAGAGAAACCGGTTCACCCGACGGTCGAACCGGTTAAACCGGTTGAACCATGAACCGGTCACCATACCGGTTCAACTAAAAAACCGGTTTTTAAAACATTGGGTTAAACAGGTTGACTATGTGGTCATTTACTCTCTTCTTACGTCCAAAAATGGAGAGGAACATTAAATAGGTTGGATATGTTGACAAGGGTAAAATGGTCATTTTACCAAAAATGAGTCTTTTTTCATACTTTATAGAGAGCTTATCCGGCCACCATGTTTGATTACTATCAATTAAGTGCAAAAAAATTATTGAGCACAATAAATAGGTTGAGTATGTTACGTCATTTACTCTTGTTCAGACAATCCAAAAAGGGAACATAAATATGTTAAATATGGTGAAGAGGGTAAAATGGTCATTTACTGTTGTAAAATGAAAACAAACTAAATAAATACCTTCCCAGTTGAATTACGGTCAGTTCTCTGCCATTTCCATAATTTATGGACAACATTTGCTGCTAGAGCTAAGACTGCAACTCCTGAATTAGTGTAAATAAATCTTGTAACCTACAAATGCACACACAGAAAGTGAAAATGGATGGAGGAAGTCACTTGACTTTAAAAAATTCACTGAAACAACAACCTACTTCTATTCATTTCTTTACTTTAAAAAATCTACCCAATTATATCACCCAAATACAAACCCGTTCTCACTGCTATGAATGGATAGATTTTGCAAAGTAAAATTTCCTCTTAAGAAAATAACTGCAGGTATAATGCCTTACTTTTAAAGAGACAATGATATAACAAAACAAATGAAAGTATTAGGATGCTATAATAATTTACAAATAAATGAAACTAGGTTTCTAACAATACCCGCATTGCAGAAGATGTATCATCTGGAAGCCTTGAGGATCGACACTGTGATGGTTCAGATATTTTTGTCCACCGGGTGCATTAGCAGCACCAAATGTTGGCATCATTGCAGTCAGTCCCGATAAGAGTATGGCATTGTAGAACCAAGGGCAAAAGAGGAAAAGAGTAGAATTTGAATTAGAATCTTTTTACCTTCATGGAAGATACAGATATGACTCTGGAGGCATCGAAAGAACGATTCTCCATTGTTCTTAGTAACCTAACCCCATCTTGACCACACCCTCATCACCAGCTGCAATAAAGCGGTTTTTTCCTATGGAAGTTTCTTTTATTATTAAATATCATCGAGCCCCTGAAATGTACATGTGCGGTAAGGTTAAATGTTTATTTTTTGAACAATAAGGACTAGATGTCATTTCTTTTTGTTAGAATTGTAAAAAATTCCTAATAAACCCAAAACGTCAACATGGCAGAACAATACCAGTTTGGTTTGGAAATTTGTCAAATCACGCTAGCAAATTTCAAAAAAAAATTGCCACTCAAACTAGCCAAATCGAAGCCCTACAGCAGGATAGAAAAAGAAGTTTTTCAATGTGGACAAAAAAAAAATGAAGTTCACAAGAACCAAATGAGATTTACAACTGGAAACAACTTTATCAAGGTTACTATCTATATTTAATGTTGTTATTAAGGTCAGTGTCATAAAAATCATTAGTTTTAAATTAAGTTATCATCTTATTTTTACATGGTATGTCTATATGGAGGTAGAGGTGACATAGAGTTTGGTGATATCGATTCTCAATATGTACAAATTGCTTAAAATCATATTAAGCAAATCATGTACTAAATTTCTCATTTTTACTACATTTTCCTACTTTTTGTTGTAAATGAGCTATGGTTTTGGCCCTGACCAAATCATGTGCTATTAATGCATATCTATTTGTAATGCTTCCTTATTTCTTTTAATCTTTGTTGAATAGATAGAAGCTAACCTCATCATTGCAAGTAATGATAGATGATGCAGTATATCTTCTTTTAACGGATTTTCATATTATGTATGTTTCAAGATGATTTTGCTAGAATCAATAACTACTAGAAGTATTGTGTTAAATAGTTGGATCAAACATCTAACCGAAATAGTTGGAATCAAGCTGTTGCCTCAACTCCATTGCTAACTGGTAGTGCAGTTGCAGTTTCCATTTTACCAGTTGCTTCTTCTTCTTCATTCTTCATCTCTATCTCTTCTTCTGTATCACTATCATCTTCATCTTCATCAAAATCTCCACCACTCTGAAAAGTATGCAGCAAGTGGTGTATCCACATGTACTGGTCTATAGCGCTCATGCATATTCTGAGAAACTGCCAGGATGGCAATACTTAAGAAAAATAAAAAATAAAAATATTACAATAAGAAAAAAAATCAAGAAAATGAGTTTTAAGGGTAGGTTACCTATCAAACAGCCCCAAAGGGTGAAATTTCTCCAATATTTCTTGAACACCTCTCTTATGTAGAGTTTCAGTAACAATCAGGACATCATTGTCAATCGTGTGACCATATCTGAGGAGAAACAGAAAGATTAAGTCCCAAACAAAGATGAATATGCAAGAATGGTTGTAACATGTGGATTACAATAAACCATCAATAAGAGTAGTTGAGTACTTCAGGTATGCTACTTTTTATCATTAGTATTATTATATCAAAAAGAGGGAAATTTTATCAAATGTACACCTGTAATGAGATAAGCACCATCTACAGAAAACACCCAATCCCATACCCATCGTTGGTGCCCTGAAACACACATATCATATTATTAATATTATATTAATTAAAAAAAAGCATGCAACATTTGTTTAAGACATGTAAGTATGTATATAGTAATGTAAAATTGGTCATCATCTGTAGTAAATAACACAGATCATAAGATCAGATTAAGTAAAAAAGAAACAATATTAGATGAAAAAAGAGAATAAATAGTGAATTTACCTGTGTCCCACGTAAGAGCCTCCAAACATAACAAGTTCCATTGTTGTTGCAGCAACTACCAAGCTTCCAGTCCACATCACTGTCAATGATCCCATTGATGTATCAACCTCTGGCACCTGGGTTTAGTTAAAACTTTAAACCCATACAACTTAAATGCTTAATCAATGTATATATGCTGAAAATTAAAAATAAAATCATACCAGCTCATAGCTACAAGAGTTTGTAGTCAAGTCCCATACACAGATATTCCCATTTTGATCACCAGATATGAGCTCAGTCTGGACACCCAAAAACAAACCAATAAACCAAATTATATCTGATGGTTTCCTGTAGGTAAAAAAATTATGGAAGAGTCCTTAAACATTCTTGTTTAAGGATTTGTTTCTTCAACCTGAGTCAAAACTCATTATAATATTAGTTTTCTGATTATTTAGGGTCAAAATAGTTAGATTTGTAGAAGCAATTTAGGAGTTCTTGCAAGAAAACTGATTATGGATATACATGTAAATTCCCTTAACTATCCTTAGCACTTACCAAAATAGCAAATACAAGATTCTTAAGAAATCTCCCAAGATGATATAGTAATCTTATAGTGTAACATGGTTGCCATCTTCTACTTTTGTAGAAAACCCAATCTACCATCAATTTCATTTTTTAAAAGCATTTTTTTTACAAATCAGATGCAAAAATAAACTAACAAGTTCAACATAAAAGATGCTAAATTTAGAAAAATACTAAGATCAATTTTGATCTTACAAGGCTGTGAAAAATCAAATCATGAAATTCAATTATTCAACAGATCACCAACACCCACATGAAAGTAATCAACAAGATAAAAATATAGAAATCAATCAATCAAGTTCATCAGCATAACAAGAATCAGATCACTCAAAACAGATGAATTTAGGGAAGTTCAAGAACGAAAATTACTTGTATTTCTGTCGGACATGAGAGCGAACCTCGGCCTGATCTTATACAACCAGTCATAGCCTCATTGTTATTTGATGATTCCAAATTTAAACTAATGCATATACCATATATCAAAATCTTTAACATTCAATATGTAATATCCTATCTATCTTCAAAATTCAAACTTTAGCTTAGAAAGTACCTCCAAAAATCTGTTGAATATAAGGAAATCAGAATGTTTGGGGATGCTTCTCATCGATTTTAATTACTTTGTTTACTTTCCATCTTCCATCGGCCATTGTAACTGTCGTTTTTCCGGGAGCGCAGTAGCAACGACCTTGCTGATGCCTTCTTTCTTGATCGATGCTTCTGTTAACCATGTCTCTCTCCCACTTATCTTCTTCCTCTCCTAAATCGATCCCTTAAACTCCCTCGGTTTTTCTTGTTGTCGCTATCGCACACACTCACCAGACAAAGAGCGTGTGGGTGTGTATGTTAGAGTGTGTTGTTCCCATCGCCACAGAGAAAGGCGTCGTTGCCTTTCTCCACAATATAGGAATCCCAAGAACTAATATTATTGAAAAATACTTTAATAACCTTAAAATTTCCCTCTAGTATGATGTGCCCTTAAGCGTAGTGCCAACATCTGCTCCGATTTTGATAAAAACAAGAAGAACCAATCAGATTCTTCTGGAATTAGGGTTCTAACATGGCTTGATAACAGGAATATAATTTGTTAAGATACAACAAAAAGGGAAGAACTCATGTCGGAGCCTCGAGCTTTGGTAAATCAAATCTGATTGGCGGACCATGGGAAGGTAAGAAGTTGGCGATGCAGAAAGAGATGAGTCGAGATCGCCGGCAGGAGGTGATTCGAGGTAGAGAACGTTGTTGAAGGTTTCAGGAGGAGAGTTGATGTAGAACGTGGTAGAGAGCCCTCATTGAGAAAACCCTAGAAAATGGTCCCTGTGATTTTTTGGATAAGATAAATAGTCTAAACGCGAGCTCATTTTAAAAAATTATAAAGCGACATGATTAGACGACACGCTTTTTATGCTTAGTGCCCTCCGTTTTTTTGTTCAGACACTAATTTTAAGGGCACACAAAAATGCGCGTCCTAAATCCTTCAAATTTTAGAAGAGATGAAATTATTTTTAGGGCACACGCTTTTGCGTATCGTAAATCACTGTGTGTCATGGTTTGCGCGTCATTAAAGGCCTATATTCTAGTAGTGGAAAATCCTTTTACTACAAGTCTTGCTTTAAACGTGTATAGTTATCCATGTAATTTATTCTTTCTAGAAGAATCATTTACTCCTTCTAGCCTTGATTTAGGGATAAGTTTTAATCAAGCCCCTACTTGATTTTCATACATGGATTATGTAACGTCCAAAAATTCATGACCAAACATTTCATTTTTAAATTAATGATTCATAAAACAGATTACTAAAACATTATCAATGTTATCTCATATCAATAAAACCCATAAGTCATATGTCTCAAAAACATGCCATAAATTGATAATGTCATAGTACAAATCCCTAGAACATCATAGTGCGGAAATCATGTGCGTGATGCGATGAAGTTAAGCCGACTCCTTTCCCTTTGAGGAAGAAGTACCGAAAACCAAAACTATAAATCATAAGCACAAAGCTTAGTGATTTGCCCCATCATACCACATAATCACATCCTGCCAGGCATATCTAGGTGTCCGACCTACCCTGTCAGGCATATCTAGGGTGCCCGACCTACCCATGTTAAGCATATCTAGGTGCGCGACCTACCCTGTTAGGCATATTTGGAGTGCCCAACCTACCCTGCCAGGCATATCTGGGGTGCCCGTCATACCCATGTCAATCATATATGGGTGCTCGAGGACAATTCAGCTAAAACGCGACATTGATGTGAGTTGCCTTCCATTAGAAGTGGGTCTATGGCCACTATATCGGCCCACTAGTAGGAGTTGTTTGTTAGATGATTGTCTTTGTGATAATTTTCTGATATGCCACTATCTGTTATGTTTATGTGCTAGTATGGTATGATGTTATGTGATAGTGGTAGTAGGGGAGTAGTCCCCGTGTCCCGGTCGTAAGGACCAAAGGGGTAGGTCAACACCCCGGTATGCCTGACAGTATGTTTATGCTATGTTATTATGTGGTAGTGGTAGGGGTGAAATAGTCCCCGTAGCCAGTTGAGATAAACCATATAACAATCTCCTTTAATTACCCTTCCATACTCATAACCCTTTTAAGGGTCATCTCAGGTCAAAGTCAAAGTCATGGTAAACACCCTGGTCAAAGTCAACATCCTAGTTAACTCAATTCGCCGAGTTGGTCCTTCAACTCGCCGAGTTCCATAAATCCATAAAACTCTGGAATCTCGATCCTACTCGTCGAGTTCTTTCATGAACGCGTCGATTTCTTCGTTATAATATCGCCGGGACCATTTACTTACAACTCGTCGAGTTCCTCCTTGAACTCGTCGAGTTCTCCTTTATACAGAGTCGAGACATTTTGCTCACAACTCACCGAGTTCCTCCTTGAACTCGTCGAGTTCTTAAATCTTCAAGCCAAAACATGTCCAACTCGTCGAGTCATCTCCTATACTCAACGAGTTTACTCAGTAATAGAAAAGGTTGGGGGACCACGACCCAACTCGTCGAGTCGTATGAACAACTCATCCAATCCCCCATGGGTTGAATCCATACAGTCGCTTCTAGTCAGGCTTAATGCATCCAGAACATAGATCTGGTTCCCTAGGGTTGATATATCATGTAAAGCTTCTAACTTTATGTGCATGCATGGGTTATTTAGCTCAAAAAGCCCTAAAAAGTGGTTCATAAGATGCATGGGACTCCCATGGCCATAAAGGTAGCATCTTTGTGCCATGGAGTCCCTCAAAAACTCTGGATTTGAAGTTACTACCACAAAACATGCTTGCATCCATGAATGGTTCCATAATATGCTCCATATGGCCCTAAACTACCCCATGAAGAGATCTAGAAAATGAATAGATAAGGTATAGACTTTATACCTCAATAAGGCTGCTTTGGCAACAAAATCTCTGGATCCAAGGCTCCTTCCTTCAACCAATCACTTCAAGCTTCCACTCTTTCAAGAAAGCTCTAAGGAATCACTCTCTTTTCACTCCCATACACTCAAAAGGATTAAGATCACGAATTAGGGTTTGCTGGACTGAGGGAGGTGATGAGGGAGGCCACAATGGGGTGTTAAGGTCTTTAAATAGGGTGCAAACCCTAAAAATTAGGGTTTCACTCTAGCAACCCTACCCGTCGAGTCGAGGATCTCAACTTGTCGAGTAGGTGACTTAAATCCCGCGTCCAATTCCAATCCTACTCGACGAGTTTGGGCCTCCAAATTGTTGATTCCCCTTGCAAAAATGAATAATTTAATTTAAAAATACATACCAGGATCTGGGTGTTACAAATCTCTCCCACTTATTTTACACTTCGTCCTCGAAGTCTATTGCGTCCGGGAATAGCTCGGGGTAGTGCTCCCCCATCTCGTCCTCCGGCTCCCAAGTCCATTTCGAGCCCTTGCGGTGCTGCCATTGCACCTTCACCAGCTCAACCCTCTTGTTCCTCAGATCCTTCGACTTCCTGTCGAGGATAGCTACTGGTCGCTCGATGTAGTTTAGGCTGTCATCCACTTGAATATCCTCTAGAAGCACCACTGCAGAGTCATCTACCAAGCACTTCCTCAGCTGGGAGACATGAAAGGTATTGTGGATCTGACTCAGCTCGGCTGGCAGATCCAGCCTATACACCACCTTGCCCACCCGAGCTATAACCCTATAAGGACCAATGTACCTGGGACCCAACTTTCCCCGTTTCCTTAACCGGATGACACCTTTCCAATGTGACATCTTCAGGAGAACCCTATCTCCTAACTGAAACTCCAGGTCCAAATGACACTTGTCGACATAACTTTTCTGCCGACTCTGAGCAGTCTGAAGCCTGCTCCAGACCTGTTGGATCCTCTCCGTCGTCTTGAGTACCACTTCGGTACTCCCTATGACCCTCTGCCCAACCTCACCCCAGCATATCGGGGTTCTGCACTTCCTCCCATATAACATCTTGAAGGGAGGACGGTCAATGCTCGAGTGATAGCTATTGTTGTAGGAAAACTCTGCCAAGGGAAGGTAGGTATCCCGGCTACCACCGAAATCTGAAACTCATGCCCGCAACATATCCTCCTAGGTCTAGATGGTATGCTGGCTCTTACCATTTGTCTGCGGGTGAAAATCCGTGCTAGAGTGAAGACGAGTACCCAACTCCTCGTCAAACTTCTTCCAGAATCTGGAAGTGAATCGTACATCCCTGTCAGAATTCACGGAAACTGCCACTCCGTCTCGAGCTACTACCTCTTTGATGTATATGTCGGCCAGCTTCTCGGCCGAAATGTTCTCCTACATCGGAATGAAATGGGCACTCTTGGTTAGTCGATCCACGATGACATAAATTGAATCCACTCCCCGTGCGGTCCTGGGAAGCTTCGTGATGAAATCCATAGTAATATCCCTTTATTTCCACACAATGATGTCCAATGGTTGTGTCTTGTCATGAGGTCTCTGGTGCTCTGCCTTGACCTTCCTGCAGGTCAAGCATCTGTCCACGTACCAGGCTACATCCCATTTCATGCAGGGCCACCAGCAGTCAGGGAGAAGATCTAGGTACATCTTCACCGCCCCCAGATGAATGGAAAATATGGACTTGTGGGCCTCATCCATCAGAATCTTTCATACTCCGCCCCTGTACGGAACCAAAGCCCTCCTATGCAGGGTTAGCAGCCCACAACTGTTATAGTCAAATGAGGAGATCTGACCCACTATACGCTCACTCTTCCGGTGTTCCTCCTTCATAGCCTCCTGCTGGGACTCCCGAATCTTCTCCAAAAGCGAGGTCACCACTATCATCCTCAGACAGATATCTCTGATCAGGGCTGCGAATGCCTTGCGGCTAAGTGCATCGGCCATAACATTGGCCTTCCCCGAGTGGTAGAGGATCTCACAGTTGTAATCATTCACCACATCTAGCAACCGATGCTGCCTCATGTTCAGATTCGGCTGATCCATGAGGTACCTTAAGCTCTTGTGGTCCGTGTAAATGGTACAACGGACCCCATAGAGATAGTGTCACCAAATCTTGAGGGCAAAAAAAACCGCCCCCAACTCCAGATTGTGCGTCGGGTAGTTCGCCTCGTGAGGCTTCAGCTGCCTCGAGGCGTAGGTGATGACGTGCCCTCTTTGCATCAACACAACGCCCAAACCCGAAATGGACACATCTCAGTATACTACAAAATCCTCAAAGTCCTCTGGCAGGGCTAAGATCGGTGAATCGCACAACCTCTGTCTAAATGTCT